GGGGGGGGGGGGGAGAATGTGCTAATAAACTTCCCTGCATGGCTCAGGTAAAACCTTTACATTGAACCCTTTGGTCATGGACAGTCTCATTCCAGATTCTATTGTTCCTGGGAACTAAATTAATTCCTGATGTGTGAGCTGATCGAATCAGTATGTCTTCAGCTTGATGAGATTTTAAAATTGGTCTTGTAAATAGTTCACAAATTCTTTGCTTTGGGAGAGTTTGGTCTTAGGCTAATAAGTGGTTAATAAGTGAGAGGTATCCCAAAACTCAGCCCTATTTCAGAGTACACAGTCTCAGGAAATGGCCCTTTTTAGCCCATAAATCACTAGCCAACCATCCAAACAGAAATTTGGAGGGATTCTCCCAAAACTTTGATTTTATTAGATTATTAGCAAAAATGATTAAGTGAGCACAGACCCAGTTTAAAGCAGTATCTTGCATTAGGGGTTCTTGTGCCTGTGAGGCCCATGTGGGATGGAAAATTTCACTCCTCCCTTAAGAGGCAAATCAGTGCTGAAAACTTAGAGACAAAGAGCAGGTTTGGGAGAGGGGACGACAGATTCGGGCTTTAAAAACTCCATACATGTCCGGGAAAGATATGCATTCCCTCCACAGTGAGGGTCCACATAATGGAACATGGGCCAGGCAGGGGCAGGCCACTCTGGGCACACCATGGTGAGTCCTAGCAGACGCCAGGGTGGGACTGAGTTGGGACCAAAGTGACCCGCAGTAATAATACACTGGCTCCGTGTCAGAGGCTGTCTGCCAAGGAAGGTGTGTTTCATCTCTGATCATGGGAACAAGAGCAGCCCTGCTTCTATGTTCCCGTTTTACTTCTCCCCGGGTTCTGGTGGAGTGAGATGCTCCTTGTCCCTGTCACCTGATGCCACACACAAACGTAAACGAGTCCAGTGCCTTCTCTTCTGAATCACGCCTGCACCTGACCCTCCCGCCTCCCAACCTTCAGCTCGCTGGCCTTCCTCACGAACTTGGAAATCCCACGGTGCCTTTCTGACCGAAGGCAGAGCCCGGCCCACAATTTCAAAGCCTGGGGTTCCTGTGTCTCTCACATGCTAAATAAACAGGAAGACAATTAGAGGTGGCCCAGAAACCCTGGTGACGACGTTTAATTTTTCTTGCCTTCCGTCTGAGGAGCAAGGAAATCCTGCTGCCCGCTGGCTGTTCGTATCTGTTTTACAAGATTTACTCATTTCCAGGTACCTAATGTCGCTGCTAGCATGCATGCACAACAATACAATTTATATGGTAAATGGGACCAAATCACGGCTTCACTGAATGTTATGGCTGCACTGAAGGGAAATGTCACGGTAAATAGCTGCCAAATTATGGATCATGCCGAAGTGTCACAACTGCACTAAAGACAAATGGCACTGGAGGCTATTGCCACCGCGGGCCTGTGAGTTATGAGGGAGGTAGCGGCCTGACGCGGGCTCTCTGTGTCCTCATTATAGCAGAGGGTTACCAGAGCAGGGGACAAGGAACGGCGGTCCAGCGCGGGCCCGGTTATTAATCTGTCCCTTTCAGCCCTAGCGGCTGTGGCAGAGTGGAGAGGACTCTGCCTGGCTTTCAGGCCCACAAGCCTGCAAGGGGAGGGGGCAGGTTGCAGGCACGTAACTGCACCGGAAATGGCCGGTCACGGAAAATCGAGGCAATCAGATCGTCTCATCAGAGGGTAGCATTAAATTGAACGCGGTGTGTGTCCGCCGGCGCAGTGGCTCTTCACGCAGGTAGACGTGTGGAATCTAAGCACAGCTGCACTTCCCCCTTTGTTGAGACTTGAGGGGGAAGGACATTGCCAACTAAATTGCTTCTTCCAAACTGAAGTGCGTCCCGGTTTCTTTCATTTTAATGGGAGGGTAATAAAGATGAAAGACCAGCATTTTTACTGACGGATCCCTTAAGCAACAGAATAGAAATTTATTGTGTTTTGAAGGAATACACTACATTCAGCTATGTAAAAAAAAAAAAAAAAAAATGTTTTTTTCAAACACCCAGGTTTGAAATAAAATCTAATCTGAAACCCTCATGCTCTCTCTCTCCCCACACTAAGAAACTACAGTGCAGGCCGTCTGCATTTAATCTCAGGAAACAAGCATGAAAGATTCCGCCCCTTCAGATAATGCCAAAAAGATGTTTAAACTTTTTTTTATTCTTCTGAAAAATGATTTGTAAATTGAGGGTCATAGTTCAACACCAGTTTCATCTTCTGGGATTATCATTCAGAACCAGCCTCTAATGGGAGGTGAGGTAGGTGGTGCGGTGCTCTCCGCACCTTCCTTCCGAGCGACATTACACATCACAAAACGTGCGTCCATAACTCAGGGCGATCGTCAGCCTTTGTTTTAGAGACAGGGCTGGGGCTGGGCGGTCGCGCTGGATGAATTATTCCTCGGTTCTCGGGGTGGCCTCCCTGTACGTCAGCCTGGAGGTCTGGGGCTGGACAGAGGGAGGGATTGGACTCTAGTTAGTGCAGAGAGAGGAGGATTCCCAGCCATCCCTGCCCCTGCCCTTGACTTCAGATTTTTTTTTTTTTGCATGCAAACACTGTGAACAGTGTCATTTCTGATCCCTCTGATGATGACTTCTGCTATGGACTGATTTCAGCATGAAATAAAAACACACACAGAAGCACTCTGGCCAGTTTTGCTCAGTGGTTAGAGCGTCGGCCGATGGACCAAAGGGTCGCAGGTTCGATTCCCAGCCAAGGGCTCGTACCTGGGTTGCAGGTTCAGTCCCCAGCCCCTGTTGGGGTGGGTGTGGGAGACAACCAATCGATGTGTCTCTCTCATTTCCATGTTTCTGTCTCTCTCCTCCCTCCCACTCGTTCTAAAATTCCATGTAAATCCCTGGGTGAGAATTAATAAAAAAAGAATAGTTTGCAAGTCAACAGCACGAGTTCTGCGGGACATGTTCTATAGATGGTTATCATGTGACTGCACCCGAGCGGAGTTTCTCAGGAGTGGGATCGGGCTCTGTGAGTGGAATCACATGCAGTACTTATCTAATGAAAGCGCGGCGACAAGTACCTGCTTGTGATTAAAACGAAAGTCCCGCCTTACGTACTTAAGGAGCACCCCTGCTAATGAAGATGTAATGCCCTCGCACCGCAGCCCTGCATTCCGTGTTCACGGCCACGGGACGCTGGAAACTTGACAGATGATGTCATGTAAGGCACATGCCTGCCGGAGGGACCTGCTTCTTTGCTTCCTGTTTCTGGCTTTTACTTGGTTAACATTTCTAATGGCCACCCGACTTGTAGTGAGTAATGTTTTGACCTCTTCATAGAATTCCCAGTGAGTCTGAATTTGCTACATTCAGGGCCTTCAAAAAGGGGCAGGGGGTGCTCAGTACTGAGGATATTTCCTTGATCTCTTTACCACAAGGACACATGCGATAAATACCATCTTTTAGATTTATATAAAAACAGATGAGTGGCCCAGCCGATGTGGGTCAGTGGTTGAGCGTCGACCTATGAACCTGGAGCTCAGGGTTCGATTCCTGGTCAGGGCACATGCCTGGGTTGCAGGCTCCATCCCCACCCAGCAGGGGGCGTGCAAGAGGCAGCCGATCAATGACTCTCATCACTGATGTTTCTATCTCTCTCTCCCTCTCCCTTCCTCTCTCTGAAATCAGTAAAAGCATATTTTTTAAAAAAACACAAAAACAGATGAGCACTGGGCAACTTTCAGAAAAAATATGATACAAAAAAAACAAACACAGTCAACTCAGGGGGATGATTTCCTCGGGTTCCAATACAAGTGTCATGAATGTGGCCCAGGTGGGAAATGGCCTGATTTGATGGACTTGTAATTACTGCTCCCTAGACTTTCTGCTCTCTCCTTTTATTAAATATAGTATTTATGGTACTTATTTAAAGACAACATTTATCTATGCAAACAATATTAATTTGGGAGGGTTTTGGAGCTGTTGTTTTTTAAAGGTAGATTTTCTATAACTAATTTTCAGTTAAAGATTTAGCCTCATATTTCAGAAGTCAAAATGCAAAACTCTGGAGTATCAATGCTGTTGGGCATTTTCCATTTTGAATTCTTTTCAACACCTTTACCATTGTTACTTGACCTTACAAAAGGAGGGGAGTTGGATCTGAGAAACTCATTGCTGTTATCATAAGCACACTATCAAACACTGGCAAAAATAGAAATTTTTAAAAAGCACTATGCAAAATGCATAAAGAATATTTGACCAATGTGTTTTAGTTCAAGTAATTCTTGATCTTAGGATTCTTTGCTGTTCAAAGAAAGACCAGATGCATGTTTCAGTTATCTGTGCCCGAGTGTTCTCTGTCAGTCTTCACTGGATCCAAGGAGCAAACCATGGCCTGGGGCTGACGCTGTCCTGGCATCTACACGACACCCAATGTACCCACTGCCCACCTGCCCACAGTGCTGGCTCAAGGCTACCCGGAGGCACAGCCCCTCTTGGGAAGTGAGTCTTGGGTCCATCGAGCAGTAGGGTAAGTACTGCATGGA